TGTATGGTCGGCAGATGCTTTCTTCACTGAGACTGCAGAGAAGAGTGAACTGCCGCCATCACTGACTGTCGTGGCTGTTCTTTTGCTTTACTTATTTCTCCCCTTCATTGTGAATAGCAGTTAATGTGTTTTTCGTCTCTTTTGTGATTTCTTGCAGCTGGTTCCTCTCTGGGCAGGGACCAACTATCTTAAAGGATAGAAATGGGGACAGATTTTATTTGCATTGCTAAAAATCTCTGCCTTCTCATTTTTTAGTATCTTTGCCACACTACCTACCCAGACAGGCTGCAGGGAAACTTGGACTGAAATGGGCTGAAAATTAATCCAACTGAATTGGTAGGAAGTTATTACATTTTTAGCTCCCCAAATTAATAGACTTCTTATTAAACATCTATGTATTCTGTATTGCTCTTGGAAGTCACCGGTAAGGCTGTGAGGTTTCATGGAGGAAGGAGAACTTAGGCAGTTGTCCATTTCCTCGGTTCAGTGCCACGCGCATTGGCAGAAAATTTGTCTTGCGTCATGCTAATGACAGCGTGAACAGTGGTTGTGCGCCTTGTAGAGGCCAAAATGTTGACCTTCTCTCTGCTGCAGCATTAGACTGCTTTTGCGTATGACGTGAGTGTGTGCATGTATATGTTGCAGGCCTATGTTACAGGCATTGTCACCGGGCTGACCTTGTCTCACGGAGATGATATTTAGCCTAATTTTCTCCCAGACTCTACATTGGCCAGGTTCAGTTTCAGAGCAGAAAGGGGTAATTGTGCTGCTCACACTGATGGCTGGCATATGTTAGAAGAGCAGTCTTATTTCCTCTTCATCTTAACACTAAACCATTCCCCAGTAGCTGACAAAGGCCAGTGTGAAGGTTTGATTTGCTGAGATGGGCAATTATTGCCTGCTTTTGAGAGAGCAGAGCTCTCTAATAGCTACAGGAAGCCAGTAGCTCTTCACAAAACACCCTTGATACTCTGGACTGAACTGTTATTGGTAATGGTGTGAATTTCAGCTCTTGGGGGAAGTCTTAATTTTCATATGGGACCAGAATATTTTGAGGAAAAAATGAAGATTTTTTTTTTTTCAGCTCCTGTCTCACCACTACAGCTACCAATGGAGATGAGAGACAACCCCAGTCCTTCAGTGAGTGTTTCCAAGAGCAGAGAAAAAGAGGATAGATGTGATGATTATGTTCAATCTTTTGGTGGTCTTAGATCTCCCATGTACTGTGATTCTTCCTGTAGTACAGTGTATTTTATTACAACACCTGCTAAAAGAATCTTTAGTATATGTCAAAACCAACAGGATTTCAGCCTCAGCACTACAGAGGCAATGACCGTAAACTTCTTGTCCAAAATTACATGTACCCTAAAGAAAACACTGACCTGTAGAGGCCCTTCAGTCAGTTGTCCTGACTCAGTACAGAATCAGTCCCAGATTTCGTAGCTTTAAGTGCTTTTCTCTTCACAAGTTTTGTGAACTGTTGAAAACGAGTATCCCAAAAGTACAATATACAATTTGCACCCTCCCCACCATGTGCCACATGTTACTGGCATGTTTTATCTGCTTGAGACACTGTTAGGGAGTGCTAAGCAATCACTCTTCCCAGAGCCATCCACTGCTAGTGCTGTCTGCATCACCTCCTATTTCCTTGCTGAGATTATAACAGTCTTCATAACTTCATTTAGGAGTATTCTGACAGCAGGATTTCTTACACTGAAGAGTTCTTTTCAAAAAAACCCAACACACCACTAGTGTGTCAAGTACTTGGAAATAGCTATTTTCATTTAAGCCCCTTGAATTTTACTAACTGGCTTGAGGTCACTTACATTACATTGATAGAAACATAAGTCCATGTGTAAAAAATATTCCCCAGCTGTTCATATATAGAAATAAATGTTTTGTAGTTGTAAGAATTGTTCCCCGAGACAGAGAAGATCAGAGTTATATTTCTGTCTCTACCAGAATTACTGTAAACTTCAGTAGATCAGTGAATTGAATTTATTTGATTAAATAGAACAGAATTTGTGTGCCTGAGTTGTGTTTTTCCTAGGCAAGACTTTAGAGCTGGTTTTGTTATATTTTACTTTTCTAGATCTGTATGCCTAAAAATTTGGTCATAGATTTATTATGGAATAAATTAATTTGGAGGTACTATCATGGGGCATTTATTTGATTCTCATTAACAAGATCAAAACACACTTTTGAGCCACATGAAAAATGGTCCTCCTGCTTACAAGGACAAGGTTTTGCAAACTAGTGTAGCCTAAGATTCTACTTCTGGTACGTATTAACTACATTTTCTGAGAACAAACCAATTTGTGTAATTACTCCAAATTCCTTCCACAGCTAGAACTCTGTACAACACCCTACTGATAGTCTTTTCAATATTATTCCCATATTCATGTGCTTAGTCCAGTTACATCTTTTACAGGAATACTACTTCAAGAGTTCTGTTGAGCATATTTTATTAGTCATAAGGTTTTAGCTCATCCATATAGTTTGATTGTTAGTTTTGTTATTAGCTTACTGGAGTATCTCTTTGTTCACTTTTTGTTCATATATTCTGGAAAGACCTGAAAGCCTTAAGCAGTACTGTGATCCTGTAGTGGGGGACATCCTACAGACTGAAAGAAAGAAAATCTCAAAGGAAGAGAGCTTAAAGTAACTAAGATGGTGGCTAAAATGCATGTGAGTGCAAAGCAGAAACTCAAACCATTTCCTTTTCACTTGTACTCCACGTGAGTCCCAAACACTTGATGATCCTGATAAATGCTGGTCCAAGGGTGATGGGTCATATGTCTTCCGCCAGACACCCAGCTGTAGCCTGGTACGGAGGGCTGGTCCCAGAGCTTCTCATGGACACGAGCCAGATAAACATGAGCGCAGCCTGTCAAACGTTACCTGCATGGCACTAGTAGCATTTTCCTGCAGACAGTAGAGAGGTGCCCATGGTGGGTAGCATGACACTCACTCTGCAGGTCAGTTTCGTGAAGGTGTTCTCTATCTGTACCAGATACACAGAGAAAAAGATGCTGAGGTGGATAGGCAGTGGAGGTGGCTGCTGTCACTGCAGCAAGTGAAAGGAAGTGGTATGTAGAAGAGAGGAAATAATGAGATTGAAAAAAAAGGTGTAACACTTTTAACAGAAGATATGCCAGAAGATTCTCCTCACAGAGTGAAGCAACAAGCCTGCCAGATAGTGTCAGACTTGTAGTCTGTCAGATGAGGTGTTGCATGTCTCTATAGTGCTGCTGTTGCTGGTCAGAGCATCCAGGTGCACTGGCACTGAGTGCTTTGGGGTCCAACAGCAGCATGGTATGCGGGAATGCCCTGGAGAAGATTGTGAGGAGGAACTAACGATTTCCAGTGACCAGGTTGAGATCAGGTCCCTTTCCCTGGGAGCTGCCACACTCTGACAGACTCCTAGGCTCTCTTAAGGAGAGCACCTCAGAGCAGAGGTACTAATACAAAAATAGTTTGCACACCTTATAGAAAACGGAACAGGATTCTCAGATCAAAACATGAAACTGCCAACATATTCCGTGTGTTTTCTTGCCTTTTGCCTGATCTTGATTTTTTTTTTCATATTTGAAAAATAAAATCCAAGAACATTTAATGTCAGATGTTGAAAATGACTGTGCTATGCATCATGCAAGTGACTGCCATCTTCTGAAAAAGCAGTAATTGCAATGCCTTTCCCTCCCTGCAGTAGATGGACATAAACATTCACATGACTGAGTACATTAGACTAGGTAGATTATACATACGTTTGCTGGAAGTGTTGCTATTTAAAAAAAAAAAAAAAAAGCACTGAAAATCATCTTCATAGTCCTTTAATCAACGGTAGGGCAGTAATATCACATAGCCGAATTTGGCAAGGCACTAATAGGTAAGTTCCTCTGCAGGGTAGAGTGGCAGTGACAATTTAAGGGATGTTTGAATTGTTTTTTCAAATTTTGCATACAAATACTGACATTGTGCAATACTGAATACCTTCAGTGTGTGTGCAGTGGGGCTTACTTTGCTATTGGTGTGACTTCTGTGAAACTAAGGGGGGGGTTATTTGAGTAAGGTGTGCTGGATTCGGTTTGAAAGGTATATATTATTATTATTTGATAAGCATGCCTTTCTCCTCAGAATTTGAAGGAAATTGTCTTACCCTCAGAGCAGAGTTCATCTTGTCCGATGTAGCCATGTGCAGACCAAGTGTTGAGTCTAAGCCGACTATTTCCAACTCTTTTCCTAGTCAATGAAGCACTTCTGAGGTCATTTGTCTCTGAAAGCTGTCTCAGGATGCCAGGGATTTCACACTAAAAATATCTCCATTTGGTGTAGAGAGTTGAAATGATGATGTTTGTCTAGGTACCAAACCTAGACAAGTAGATGGGATGAAAACCCTTGTGAGTGATAGTCAATTCTTGGTGCCATGTCAGTGGGTTATCATAGAATGGTTTGGGTTGGAAGGGACCTCAAAGATCATCTAGTTCCCACCCCTCTGCCACAGGCAGGGACACCTTCCATTAGACCACCTTGCCCAAAGCCCCATCCAACCTGGCCTTGAACACTTCCAGGGATGGGGCATCCACAGCTTCTCTGGGCAACCTGTTCCAGTGCCTCACCACCCTCACAGTAAAAATTTCTTCCTAATATCTAATCTAAATCTACCTTCTTTCAGTTTAAAATCATTACCCCGTATCCTATCACTACATGCCCTTGTAACCAGTTCCTCTCCAGCTTTCCTGTGGGCCCTCTTTAGGTACTGGAAGGCTGCTCTAAGGTTTCCCCAAAGCCGCCTCTTCTCCAGGCTGAACAACCCCAACTGTGTCAGCCTGTCCTCATAGGAGAGGTGCTCCAGCCCTCTGATCATCTTCGTGGCCCTTCTCTGGACTTGAAGTTGGCGATGGGTTGGTAATGTATTTATGAAAAAGCAGTGTTTGACAGGATGGAGTGTGATACTGTGGGAAGTCCTGTGGATTTATGCTCTCAATTTCCAATTTCAGGGAGGAGAACATTGCTATTATCAGGGAGAAATTCGAGGAAATCCTGTATCATTTGTTGCCTTGTCAACATGCCATGGATTACAGTAAGTCTACTGTTTTGTTTTTACTGGCCTTTACTTATTAGTCTTTTGAGCAAAATAAAGCTGTTTGTAGTACAATAAGTGCTATTTATTTTCCTACTAGTTTGTCACCAATATTAAGTACTCAACGATCTTTAGAGAAAATGGGTTTAATTTGAACCTTGCAAAAGCCTTGTTTGTTTGTTTTCAGAATTTACTGACAAACCATGCAAGTTTCTTTTCTTTTTTTTTTTAAACTGAGGACATATGACAGTGGCCAGGTATTATTTTAAGATAATTTATTATAGAGATAGAAGAGTAAAAGTAGCTGAAAAAATCCTGTTCTACAAGAATAAAAACTACTGCCAGTATTTCAATGAACCATTTGGAAATTATGTTCTCTTCTTTTGCTACAATGATGTATTTTCTCTTTCTTCTCTGCTCTCTTTACAAAGGCATGTGTCAGTTTAGAGTTTCTCTTGTCCTATGCATTTTCTTCACAGAATTGCTGGCCTTAAGTTGTGTGCATGGGATAATACCTTTGATATAGTAAAATCTTGGAAAATCCGGAAGAAAGGATATAAAATTGTGCAATAATATTTTTTTTAAAGTACATCATTTTAGTGGTAATATCATTAAAGTGTCTGTCATCTGAAGGTTACGTGGAGCTGGGTGTTGATTGTACAGCTTTTGGACCCATCTACTTTTGGCACTCTTGAAAGATGCTAGTCAGATTTTCAGAGCAACCAAGTAACTTCAGTGTCTGTTGAATCTGGGAATTACAGGATCCCAGCGCTTTTGATACTGAGATCAGCTTGAAAAGTCATGGCAGCAAGTGAGCCTGTGTGGAGATTACCTGAGCTTTGCCTTTTTCTGAGGAAGAAGGGCTTAGCTGATGGAAATCTTCAGCTTTTTGTCTGTCTGCAACTATTCTGTAGTTTTGGTATCAACCATATAAGTACACATATTGAAGCAGTGTCTTTCTTTTGTATTTGTATATTCTTTGTTAGTAAGGGGGAGAATGCACGCAGAAGGCTTGTCATCCTTGCACTTGTCTGATTTACAGCTGTGTTTATCTCTTTTATGATCAAGGTTGAGCAGCTCAAGAAACCTGAGCCTAATTTCAGTATGGACAGTAAGCCTAAAAATAGTAGCATCCTAATGCATCCTATGGCTTCCATTAGCAGTGATCCATTAGGTGTTGGCCCCTACTAACTCCTAGGAGAAAAATCAGAAAGGAAGGAGAGCCTGCATATGTCCTTCCATGCCCTCCTTTTGTGGGTTTGTTCTTAAGACTGACCCTCCTGCTGCCTGATATTCAAATTGTTCCCTTCTAGCAGTTACGTGATGAAAGATGCATTTTTTCCCTGTGTAATTCAGCTCCCCCTTGAGAGAAGATGCGATATGAAGCTTACTATAGCAGACTGGTAATTCCAGTGTGAGAAAGTAATGTTTTCCTAAGCTGTATTAAACTTACATTCTCTGACACTGCATTTCCATCATTACAACTAGCTCCTCCACAATCTATTTTAAATACTAAGTAATTACTAGAAACTCACACTGGCAATCAGAGCTCCTTTGTTCCAACCACAGTTTGGAGTGTCTCGCTGGAATAAGGGAAGCTGGGGAGAGTTATCTTCTAATAAGGTCTGCAGGGCAGGAGCTTTGCTTTCATGAATTTTGGGAAGTGCATAAGACAAAACAGATGCCTTTAATAGAATAACAAGCTTTATATTACCAAAGTTCATGCTAATCTCCTCTCTTACTTATTAGTACCCCTAGATCTTGGCCAGTAACAGCAGAATTTTCCATACATGTGAGATGATGTTGTGGTTTTTTAATTATAAATTATGAGTTCTTCTGGTGGCAATGTCTATGTTGTGATCTTCCTTTTATTACTCAAATTAATTGGATGACTGATGGAATACTTAAAATTATTAATCTCTTCTTAATGACTTTGCTAATGAAAAATATATCTCTGCAACCTTTACTCTGAGCGAGCCATTTTGTTTGGATTTTTTTTTATTGTTGTTGTTTTCTGTGGCATATGCAGTAACCACAGTTTCCTATGAGTTAACACAAAAAACTTTGAATGCAAAACACACGGGTTGCTGGGATATAAACAAGCTATAGTCAGGCACGACTTGCAGTCCTGTGTTTCAAGGCAAGTTGCAGAGACACCAGGTTGGTCTATGATTTTGCTGCCCACTGGTGGTGAATATAAAAACTGCTGTTATTACTGCAAATCAGACTTTCATGACTACAAATTTATTTGTTTGAAGAATATACATAATCAAAATTCAGGTTTTTGAAATGGCCTGTGTTTTGCTATTGCTTTCTCTCTCACACATCCATGACTGTGTGATTTGTTCACAGAGCACTGGACTATTGAAATCAGTTGGAAAAGAGGCATGAATGCTTTGAGTGGGCAAGTCAGATCTGTAGGTCAGCCATGACTATTATTCTTGTCACTGTTGAGTGACTTGCTAAGAGGTCAGTGCTGCTGGGTGCACCAGTCGCACGAGAAGCTGTTCGCTGGTAGTGCTTCGTCTTGCAGACTGTGCTGAAGTAAAATTGCAATTAGAGGGAAGGAAGTTTTGCCTGATTAAGAGCTGCAGGATGTTCCCAAATCTCATCTTATTCCCAGGCAAAGAAGCTTCAGCAGATGCTAGAATATTTACATTAAGCTATGTAGACAGTATTTAAAGAATAGGCACAGGTAATTTGAAATGTGAAACAGCTTTAAATTGGAGATACACTCATGGTCAGACTTGATGTACGTTATACAGTCAGTAACCCAAGCTACTTCTGTGAATGCTACGTGGTTAACCCTGTAAGTGAATGATATTAAGAGAAGTATGCTCATCAATAGCTGTAATGGTTTACAAGCTTAATATATGCTTTTATTTCTTAATAGTCAGGAAAAGAATGACAGTATTTTACTGCCTACATCTGGTCCTGTGCAGAATCAAAATCAATTTTGCTGGGAAAAAAAAAAGCTGCATAAGAAAAAAGAAAAGTATCCAATTTTGTTGTTTATAATTCTAGTGGGGTTTTTTTCATGCCTAGAAGTTTGCTAAAGAGTAATCTAAATAAATAAATAATCTCGCTTTCATGCTGCTGTTGAGTATTATGTGCCAAGTTTGAACTTAGAGCTCATATTTCTGGCCAAGTTTAAAGCCCTTAGCAGTGGCATTTTGAAAGGGACATGCTGATACAGCCTAATCCCAATGATGCGTGTATGCCACTGCAATAAAGGCAAAAATATTTAAAAAAAAATGCTGATTTGGTTGAAGATCAGAATGGTAGTGATATAAAAAATGCCCTTTGGTTTTATACTCCTACAGAGTAATGTCTGTATCAACACTTTCTTTTAAGGTGCAATTCAACCACACTTGTGCATCCTGTGTTATGTTAAGGACTAAACCTCAGTACACTCTTTACCTAAGTAAATAAGGTAACTCTTAATAGAAAACGCCCTTGCAGGAATAGACCTCACCTTTGCTGTACATTTGAGTGGTAATGCAAAAGCATCTAGTGTTACTGTCACAGACTATCTTCTATTTAGAGAGCCTTAACAGTTCAGTTTGTTCTTCATTTAGAGTTGAACTGTGTGGTGGAATTTAATATAGAAAATTGATGATTGTGTGTGGGCAAGCAAAATGTTTGATTTTCTGGGATACATAGCAGTGTGCCTATCATGAATGACCTTCAAATTTCTGTGGTTGAGAAGATTTTATGCCATTAAGAAAGAGACCAGGAGTACCATGGCTATGGCAGAAGGCTTGGTCCTCTGTATCTCTTTTCAACCCAACCAGTTGGAAGCCTGTCTGATGGGGTTTCCTGTCTCCTTATCATGACCATCATATAATGTCCATATTGATATGATAATGTATATAGCCATTAATATAGCTTAGAAATACAAACTTAAACTAACTCAATTTAAAAAGAAAATACTATCTGTTGTAATTATTATTGCTGAAATGCCCCAAACAGCCCCCTGTGCCCAAAAGAGCCCGTTATGCCCTTTGTACTTGGTACTACGTAAAATTACTGAGGAGAAAGTTAATTAAAATCATTAAAACCTAAGGATCAATTCAATTCAATAATGTTTTTATTTGGGGGAAAGCTGTGCGCATGTTCCAAATACATGTGTTTCTAAAGACAGGCCCCTTATTTATCTGTTGCAGGTAGATCTCTCTTGCATGGGAGTGGGGGCTCCGGACTGGATTTTCAGTTGGCTAAATTAGCCAATTTTTGTGGTGTTTATATGTGTTGTAGAGAAGCTTTGGGGAATAAAGAAGAGTCTGTATCACCATGGGGGAGAATATTTTTTTCTGAAGTGAAGAAACCAAAGATTGACTCAGAATGACATTCAGTTCCTGAAACCATTTTTAACTGCTTCTTTTTCTAAAGATTTGAATTTTTAAATTATATGAACTTTTTAAACTTACTTCCATGTTGCAGTAGTATTTGTTTATTAAATCAGTATTTGTATTTCCTGCTCTTGACAGTGGGATGTTCTATGATGGAAATCATACTTACCTTATTGAGCCAGATGAAAACTACACTTCAGATGTAAGTAGAACTTATAGAAGTCCTGCTGTGTTGTTTATTGAATACAGACATTCATGGGTACAGGGCAGATGTAAGGCTCTAGGACCAAAGGGTCATCCCCTCATTCTCAACTCATTTACCACATACAAAAGTAGACCTCCAAAAATTAGGCAGTGGCATGTGTATATGTGTGTACTCCGTAACACTTGGATGTAGAGCAGTGCAGCACCAGAGGGTGATGAGAGTCCACTGGAGCCAGCAGAAGCCTGTGGGTGCCCTGTCGCCTTCTCTGGCACTTCCTGCTCTGCATTCGTTACATCCGTCTCCTCCTGGCTCGGCCTCGGCTCCAGTTCAGCAGCTCCTGTGACTCTCGATGTTCCCTGGGCAACTTTCTTATGCCTAGCTCTAAGCGTGCTCAGCCACTCTAATGTACTCAGATATTTCAAATAAAAGATGATTAACTGTGGTGTTAGCGATCACATCACAGTTGGGAGAAGGAGAAGAGTGTAGAATAATGGTGCCTTGCAACTTGCATGTTTACTGATGTAGATGTTGGGTAACAAGGACCTTTGGAACTGTCTATTTAATGCTTGTGAGATGGATTAGTTTATCCAGATTTAATACAGGCAATTATGTACTATTTCAGGATGACTTCCATTTCCACTCTGTTTACAAATCCAAGCTGATAGAGTTCCCTTCGGATGACCTGCCATCTGGTATGTTTTTTTTAATATTCATGACTTACTGACTTGTTGTAGTCTAAGGCCAAATTTGTTAATTGTATTTGATAGATAATCTTCTGATAGTATATTGGTTTTTTGTATACCTCTTCTTTTTCCCAATTAATAAAAAAGGACTGAAAAAAAAAAGAATCTGAAACACTGAAAGCACTGGAAAAGACCCTGAAGCACTGAAAAAACCCTGAATCCAATGAATCAAACCTCTCCTAGACCTTTATTTTGTGATGTATGTTTCTCTTAACAAGTCATGCTGTCTATGGACTATGTTACATGCTAGTAGTTGTAGAATGGAAAGAACTAAGGTAGCCTAAAGATGGTGAAAATAAACCCCACATTACCAGTGGTTGATAACTCTTCATGGATTTTTCCTTTTTTGGATACAGGGTGAGTACCATGGTGTGAGCATAATCCTGGGAGACAAGAACTTGCCAAATGTCGTTGCTGTTCCGTGACTCTCTCATCTCCAGTCCGTTCAGCATCTTTCACAGTACTGGCTGTAGTGTGGATCATGCATTTCAGTACAAATGAATTTGGAGGCAGAAGTGATTTCGAGTGCTTGTAGTGATGAATCCCCAGAGTTTATATTGTGCGTGGAGGGAGAAGTGTTTTTTTTTTAAAATGAGTTTTCATCTGAGAAGTTGGCTTGTTAATTGAAGCTAAAATTGCAGTATTTATGGCATATCCGCATTCTGTGAAGGATTCGGCAGTTTTACAGGTGCTTTTTCCTACTTTACAAAATATATCCCAGATAAATAAAACTGGCCTTCATAGACACTGTCATTTTGGTAGAAACCACCTATAGACTAATTTCTTCAGGAGAGTTACAAATGTCAGTCATCTTGTTACAAACTATTTGTCCTATGGTAACAGTTGGATCTGGGATCTTCCAGTGCTGAGTACTGCACTTAGATGGGTCCTTCTCTGGAGCACACTGTGCAGGTTTGCTAGTTGTTAGGCAAACAATGTAGAATCATTAAGAGAGGTAACGAGGAAAAACAAGGGAAATTGCTACAATTGGGTTACCTTGATTTCAGTTCTGAAGAAGCAATCTTTCTGAGTCTAAACTAACAGTGTCCCAGCTTGGTGTCTCACGTCCTCTGCTGATGATTGCCCAGGCGAGGTGGAGGAGGTGTTGGGGTGGAGAGGCAGCACAAAAGGCTCATGCAGTGCAAGACATTGACATCTGTATCGTGAAGCTTCCCATTAACGTGCATCTTAGACATATACCATGGTTATTCCCTGTACTTGTGGAGATGGTAGTGTAAGGAGAACACTTTATTGAACATAAGGCCAAATAATAAATTGCATTTTTTATCACCATTTCTTGAGGATATGTCATTTGAAAGGTTGGAAATAATGCGACTACTGCTGAGTTTAAAATAAATCTTTTGTCTCAGATTGTTAAAGTAGGAGACTGCTAGAGTGGGTACTTAGGAGATATCTATCAGCTGTCTTATAAGATTTCCTAATAGTGAAATTTTCTGTTTTCAAGATTTTGGAATAAAATTATTTTCTGCTTTTAAAATTATGAAAAGGAATTCATTTCAAGTATAATCCACCAGTTTCGCCTCCACCAAAGCTTCTTGATTTTCAAAAAAAGTGTCAAAATAGGGCTTCATTGTTTTGGGGGGGGGGTTCCCTACAAAAATCCAGATATGCATGTACAGTTTTGATTTTACTGTAGATACAAAGTAAATAGTTGCTGGCTTTGATGTACAAAGTCCAGCATGTGATATAATGGAAGATGTTTCCATTAGATTGAATTAGAATCACAAGATTGTAGAAAAGGTTGAAAAGGAGATTTAGTTGTGGAGTGCTAGTGGTCTTAATTATACAAATATTTGTAAAGTGGATAAGAGGTATAATGTGCTAATATTCTGTTACTTTATGTTTAGGATCCCATATATGGAGAAATAAACTTTAACTCACAGTCTGCTCTCCCACATGCCCATATTTGTTTTTGTAAAAATGTTTGGAAAGGTGTTTCTGAGGTTTGTAGTGAAAGTTCCGTTAGATGTAATAGTTTATATCCTCATTAGAAATACCACTGTTTTTCTTTGTCTGTGATTATTCAATTTATCTCTGTCTTTAAGTCATCCTCCATGCATAGCCACAGCCTCAGAGGATGAGAGCAGTCCGCACTACCTTCTGCACCACCCTTTTCCCTGTGCCCACAGGAGCTCTGTCCTTCACCCCCCAGGCTGCTGCACACCCTGCCCTGTGTTCTCCTTCACTCCTCGCACATGCTGTCCCACCAGTGTCTCTGCTTGGCACTGCCTCTTCCCTGCTGGTCTGGAGAGTCCCAACTGTTGTCTTGACTTTTTTTTTCTTTAAACAATATTTGCAATTAATTGCTAATAGTATTGTTGTGAATTTTTTTAAGTACTACAGCAGAATCATTATTATTATTAGCAATCACTGTGCTAGGTTATGTCATCAGTATTTCTTATATTCCTTATTGCTCTCATAATTTATCATTTTGCTCAGCCTAAAGAGATCTTCCTTCATGTCAAGATGTTCTTCTTGTCTTTAAAAGAGTCTGTATGTAAGCTAAGATTTCCACTCAGAACTGCGTTAGGAATGGATTGGATGTATCATCAGCTTCAATATTGATATTAGGAAAAAAAAATCAAGTAATAGGGATTATTCAATATCAGTGATAGTAAAAGCACACACTGCTATACCACAGTTCGATAGCAATGTACTTTTTATATTATTTTGCTTCTTGGGTATTAAAAAAAAAAAGAAGGGTGCTATTGCAGAAACAAATTAATCATACTGTACAATGGTCTGAGGAGGCAATGAGGACTTTAAATAAGGAAAGCTTGGATGGATGACTTGGCATGCTTTGAGCATTTAACTTCGTAATTTAGTAGACTATTTTTTCTCTTTATTGAGACATATAGTGCCTTGGCATGGTCTTAGCGCTATGTTATTGAAGGTGGTGTTTTTCAAATAGTGCATAACAGATGTCCTTTTCCTTTGAGGTCACTTGAAAGATGTGTAGCTGTGGCACTTGGGACATGGGTTAGTGGGACCTGGCAGTGTTACGTTTATGGTTGAACTTGATGATCTTAAAGGTCTTTTCCAACCTAAATGATTCTGTGATTCTATGAATCCTCATTACACTTTAACATGTTTCCATGAAAATTTCCACTAGGCTTTCTCAGCTATCCGCATTTCCTGTGATTTTGCTGGTCATCTTTTGCCTGAGGGTCCCTGGCTGGAGATGCACCCAGTTTGTGAATTATAGTGCAGTGATAATGTGTGTTAATGTGTTAACATTAATGGATGCATCATTCCCCTCTAGAGATGACTGACTTCCGATGGTGGGTAAAATGATCATATTTATTGGGAAAGTTATCTGAGACCCTATATACATATTGTAAATTATTATTTTATTGATTGAAAAGTTGTATTTTTACCAGTTTTATTAACCATGATACAAAACCTAAAATGACAGTTTGAGAGCCAATTGTACGACACTAGAACACAGACTAAATTAATCAACATATATAAAGCATAATCGTAAACAAATTTGTAAAAAATTTTTTAAGATTTAGTTTCTTATCATTGGGAGCTCTAGAGACTGCAGGTCTTTAAGCAATAAATAGGGATGTGATTTAATTTATTTTAGGTCATTTTTGTAAAGAAAATCCTCATGTGCACTGGTGTAACCATGAAAACATTTTTCAGAGAAGCGCCTGTGATTGTCCAGGCCCCTCCATAAAAAGATATCTGCAAACTTCACATACCAAAATAACAGTATAATCCCCAAGATGTAGCCAAGACAATACCAGTTAGTCATGTTTTGCTGTCCTGGTTTTGTCTGATCAGTAACTAGCCACTCCTGGTTAAGGTTAGCACTTATGCCTGGTAATGTTTTGTCAGATGGGCAATTCAGCTTTGTGTATTAAGGTTTTGCTGATATGGCAGCCCTTTCAAATTCCTATCAGCATTGTTTTTAATCCTATTGTTTGAACCTCATGCAGAAATTGCACAGTTAATGTACAGGAGGTGGGAGGTGGAGCTGTGAGAAACTTTACTGTCTCACCCGCAAAACTGAAATGTTTAGGATTTTGTAACACGACCTAAAGTTGTGTACAGAGGTATGTGAACTGGAAGTCCCTTAATTTACACACCTCCTATAGTACAGGCTACTTCTCTGCAGGATTGATAAAATCACTCTGGAATACTGAAAGCAATTTTCAGTCCCTGAAGACTGAAAGGATGCCCAAAGCTGCAGAAGGTACAAAGGAGGGGACAAAGGAAAAAGACATATTACAAAATAAGCAACTGCAAATATTTAATTTACATGTCTCAGAAAAGATCTTGGGATTATGTGAATAGTAAGTTTATACAAGATAAGGAAAGAGATTTCTGTTGTGTAGAGAGAAGTGAGGCAGGGACTATGAATCTAAAATTAAAGATGGAAAAGTACTTCTTGGACATTTAAAACGGTGAGAGCAAGTATTGTCTTCTGCTTAGTTTATAATGTATTCCTTTCCGTGAGAGGCTAGTAATAGATTTGGTGAAAAGAATTTGGCAAAAGAATAAACTACTTGGTGCTTATGATTAGAGGTTTAAGAAATTAAAGACACAGTGGGATTAGCAGGGAGGAATATTGTATCGATAGTGAGCATTGCCAAAATCTCATAAGGTTTCTCCCAACCCTAACATATTTTACTTTGTGGATATAATCGTCTTAAAGCATTAATCTGCCTTCTGTGCTCTTCTTATTAATTTAGGTAGCTATTGCAAGAGCTCTGTGAATGTCTGCTGAATTCCCAAAAATGTGATTCATTCCATGGAAGCACTGTGCTAATAATATTACATGCCCAGTGTTGGTGAAGTTTTGGCATAGAACATCTGCTGTGCTTTCTGAAGTGTGACACCCACAGATCATCTGTTTCAGCAGACCCAGATTATCACTAGTAGAGATTTTAATAAGAACCCTGTTACTGGGAATCATCCTTAACGTTGCCTCCTTTCTAGCTGGAAACTTAAAAAAAGAAATTGTTACCGCATCTGATGTGCGGAAGAATGCCGTACTACTGTCATGCGGCATCAGGGTCACTAATTGTTGGGCTGTATTCTTGTAAACATTCAATGTATTTGCCTGTGTTTTTTGCTCAGAGTTCTGGCAAATGAATACTACATCGCAGAAGTTTGTTGTAAAGCCAAGACACAAAAGAAGTAAAAGGCAGGTATGTGCCAATATGCTTGTTTATGAGTAATATGCTATCAAGTTTATTTTGTGTCTGCTGAATTAATTTGTCCAGATGGAGTCCTGCTGCTGCTGTTGGTTTGGCATGAGCTCTCTGTATCAATGCAGCTATTACAAAGAGGTATCTAATGTTGACAAAACATTGTTGGGTTCCCTTGGACATTGCCTATCTGAAGAGTTGTAAAATTGTTAAACATTGCTAAATTGCAAATGCAAAAGTAGCTAAAATATTTTCTCTCCAGTGTAGAGCTTTATCAGAAACTCCCAATTAATGAAACATTTACAAATATTTTTTATGTTGCAATGGTGACAAGTAGCTACTTTATCTCACTTGACTTTGATTAATATAAATATTCTAAGACTAAGAGTTCATTCCCTGTTTATTAAAGTGGAGGAGCCACTAAGTGCTGATGTTTGTCTGTACCCTGGTTTTAGATAGGAGCAATTCTTTGCATTTTAGGAATGGATCTCAAATAATGGTACAGCTCAAAAAAGAGCCGGGTCAGGGGAGCTGAACGGCGCAGGCAAAAATGAAATACTTTCAAAAACAAAAATGAGAGCAGTGGGAAGGGAAGATGACTTTAACACCTTTGACTAATGTAAGCTTCTCAGAGGCAAAAGAGAAGTGAGAAAGACAGTGGAGAAATTCCAAAAGTCATTCTTGAGGATCTTACTTTATATCAGCTAGTTTGCTACCTTTCTATAAACTAGTAATTATTCTGCACTTTTAAATCATAATGATGTAATAACTCTCCTGGAAAACCCAGGAAAACAAGGACACCATGAAGAAGCACAGTCGTAGATGTTTCTAAATGCAAAATAGGCGTAACTTGGAGGCAAGTACTGTGTTCACTGTGTGAATCAAGCAGTGTGCAAATAAATAATAGAATTGTTACAGAGATTTTTCATAAAGAATTCAGGAGGCATCCCTTTCTCTTTGGAAAAAAGTTTATAGCTGACACAATCCAATTTTAGAGACAGAGGCCCCACTGAGGATTCATTTTAAAAAAACCTAAACTTGGGATTAGATGGGTTGATAGACTTGATTTCATTATTTAAGGTCATATAAATGTCCTAGCGTAGGTGAAAGAATTTTTTAAAATGATGCAACTAAGCACTAGAAGTTTCATCAATATCTGAGACCAGAATTAAGACAATAGAAAAAATGTATGGGTGAGAAGTTAGGTTTCTGACGCCATTTGTAGTTATCAGTTACACTCTCTCTGTACTCTGTTAGACTCTTACAGTTGTACTCTCTCTGTAGGTTCGTCAGATTCCACACAAAGTTGAAGAGGAAACAAAATACATTGAGCTAATGATTGTAAATGATCATCTAATGGTAAGACTGACACACTTCAGCATCTTACGGTTATCACTAACATCAAATTGTCTTAATTGGTCCATAAAGGATAACAATAAAGAACAACATATGGCCAGAATAAATTCAGTATGCCCTTAAGATAAGACATTATGATTTCATTAACCATTGATGAAGTTGCTTCTGAATTTTGGCAGGGTGATTTCACCAAGAATGCAACCAGGCCTGAGTATCAGAAAGGAGTGTCATAAATTAAAGCTTTGTATCATAAAGTAACTAATGTCAGTGTGACTTAGGCTGATGTTTTTCTTTCTGGCTTTCTTGAGCACTTGTCTTAGTTATAACCAGTCAGCAATCAATAATGTTATTGCAATTGTGCAGCTTCTGTGACAATGGGGAGATTAATAGTGACTAGATTTTTTTGATACGTCCAAATCAATATAGAGAAAATTATTTTCTTAAGCTTGTATAGTTTCTCTGGGAGAACATAAATAGGCTCTTTAATGTAGTGGAAAGAGACATGATAAAGATTAGTCTATTGAAGAAAACCCAGGCTCATTCAAGTGGGAAAAGGCACAGATTTATGCCAGTGAAGATTATTAATAATTAATGAAAGGAGTATCAAAGGAAATGGTGAATTCTCCATTGCTTGCAGTCTTCAAATCCAGACAGTGTATTCCTGGAAGATGTGGTGGTGTCAAACACAATAGGTTTCGATCTTGAAGTAACTGAATAAAGTTCAGAGACTGGTGATGCCCCTCCAACTGCTGACATTACCTGATTTTATGGTCCTTTATGGCTTTAAAATCAAAATGTTAGCTATACATTTTATCTACCCTTTCTGTAATGTGCAGCTTCTCTCAAGCAACACCCAAATTGGCAAAAATAGATATCAGAGTGTAAAAGGAATGTGCCACTGTCCTTGGACAGCGTATTTCTCCATCAGCTCAGTTTGGTGAGCATAGCAATAAATCCTTGGATTAAAATGGACAATGCTGGATGCAGAATTCCCTAAATTGGTGTCATTGTGTTTGATCCTCAAGTCCTGAAGCCACAAATTTCCCCTTGAGACCTTATCTGTCTGGGCTGATTTCCCCCCAAGGACAATGTTTCCTAATTTTGGTTAATTATAGCTACTGCAAGAGTCAGTCTACTTAAGAGTTTATTCTCTGAAGCAAATGCCAGTGAACGTCCATGGCTGAAGAAGCCGCATGCTCTGGGCTCCTCCCTTTCCCCATGGCCTGAGCTAGCACACGAGTGTATTTGACTTACTCCCTGTGTGTGTTGTGGATGCGGCACTCTGGATGCACTCAGTGTGGAGCTGACACTCCACAGAGTTGGAGCCGTTCTTGCCATTCACCCTCCCCAGGTGCTCCAGAGCGAGCAATGAACCTCGTGTTTCTTCCTCTGGTCTGTTGCATCCCTGCTGCTCCTGGCTGCCCTCTCAGCTGCTTGTCCAACTATTGCTTCCAGTTGGGGAATACAGTTGTTAAAACCCAAACATTGAAATAAGCTTACAAATTAGTATACTGAAAACATTTCCGTAGCATGCTTAGAGAAGCTGGAGGCCTGAAATTTGAGGTTTTAGTTGCAAATAGACTTGTGTGGTATATTTATTTCCCTTTGTTCCTGTGCTTCATTTTCTATTTATTTTGTAGCTTTTTCATTTCATCCTTTCTACCATTTTTAGCTTCACAGTCCTGTCCTTCTGTTTTTTAGTAAGTGTAATATCCTCATTTTTGGTGTTTTTTTTTCCCCTTTCCTGCTTGAAAGCATGCATTTCCCACCCCCAAGCTGCCAGGCACTTTTTCTTGCTCACTGAACTTCCAGAAAATATGGACAACTTTCACTCCAAAATCAAGCATCACGGGGCACAAGAAGGTTAAACATTTCTGAAGATCTTAGTCCTTTTGTCCTAAATTCTTTGAAGAGACTTGTGACTTTCATACCCACGGTGCTCACTTGTAAGAGTTTTTTCTGCAGATAGGAGTACCTGGATAGCTGTCTTCAATGTCATCTTTATAGCACTGTGTTATAGATGTCAGTAAAGGTACCATTGCAGTCCGATTGCTAAAGTGATTTGAATCAGTTACTGTGGCATTATGGAACGTGAAATCGTACATGAAGAAATCCAGAAGACAGTTTAAGAGAGAGAGCTAAAAAAAAATAGCAAGTCTGATTGATAGATTAAAACATGGATGCAGGCACTCTTGGGGTAACAACTCTAAAGAAGTTTCAACTATGGAAATAGTGTTGCTAATTTCTGTATTGGCATTTGGAATTAACTTTAAAATTGCCAATAATAAAGATAATGAAGAGACTAACAATATGTTTCTGTTCCTATAGCATTTTTCAGTAAAGCTCTTAGAGTACTTTCCAAACAGGAATTAATACAACAGCTGTTGTGAAGTGTATCAGTAGTGTGCATTTCTGAGCAGTTTACTACTGTCAGCACAGGAGACAAAACCTTGCACAGGGGTTTTACTGTTGATATAGTTGCTTTTTGCTTTGTGCTTTTTACTTTGTGCTTTTTTGGAAATGGAGCTCATTTTGCTGAAGTCTGTATATATAACTTGTCTGTGTTTATTTTGCAGTGTAAAAAGCACCGCTTGTCAGTCGGCCATACAAACAGCTATGCTAAATCGGTTGTGAACATGGCAGATTTAGTAAGTATCACTCAACTAAATGTTCTTTTATGTGTGAGATGAGTCATATGATTCTCCTGCCGATAGATGCGGGAGTTGTCAGTTCATGGTATACCTAATAATAATAAATATGAAGATCACAAGTTTTCATCTACAACCACAGTCAGCCACCTATAAATACGTTGTCTAACATAAAGCATTAGAGATTTTTTGTGGCTTCAGACATTTAAGTATCCTGCTGGATCAATCTCTTGAGCCTGAGTTTTAAAGAGCACCTTAGATATGACAGTTTTTAACAAAGGATCCCTGCATTGACAACTGGAAACCCCAAAGACAATCTGAAATTAGAGTGCACTAAAATTTCTCCAGAAAAAGGCAGGTTTGAGTAAATGAGTTAGAAGAGGGACACACAGGTGGATTATGTGGATTATATTTGTGACGCTAAATTGTATGAGCTGCTGCTGGCTCTTGCACCTCACCCCAGAAGAGTATACTAGAAAAAGAAAAATGTGGTTCCCGCTCTTGAAAGTATTTGGTGTGGAATATTAACCCCCTGTATCGAAAGGATGGCCCTTTTTTCTTGATTCAGCCAGCATGAAGTTAAATACTGCTGTAGAGGTGCTTTACAGTGAAAGCTGTGGTTTTATAGATCACTATTTGGTATAAGGGAGCCCTCGTGTGTTATTGGGGTGAGTTGGATGGGTTATAAAAGACCCAAACATTCAAAATCTTTGAACTATTTGGAATGGTTCTGTAGTAACTTTTCAAAAATCCCATTTCATTTTTTATGCACCTCTACCTGAGTAGAACCTGCAAGGGATCGTTTTACAGGCTGAGACCATTGATTGAAGATTAGGCCTAAAATTTAGATTTTACTTTGTTTTCATGTTTGTTTGTTATTTTTACGGGAGATAAAATCCCCTGGGAGAACCTAAAGTGTGCCAGAACAAGCTAAATAGGTAGTAGTGTAAAAATGCAATCTATTTAAAAAAAGGAGTAAAACTCACCTTTATTCTATTTGACATAATATGTTTGTTCATTCTGTTAATGTACTAGATATATAAAGAACAACTTAACACCAGGATAGTATTGGTTGCCATGGAAACCTGGGCTACTGATAACAAGTTCACCATATCTGAAAACCCCTTGGTGACCCTACGTGAGTTTATGAAATATAGGAGAGATTTTATCAGAGAGAAAAGTGACGCAGTTCACCTTTTTTCGTACGTAACCTTGTGTAATGTTTTATTACTGTTTTTTTTCTTTCCTTGGGGGTTGCTTATCACAAGTGGCTGATGCATCTCCTTTCTGTTGTGTGTGTAATCCACAATAATTCAGAAATGTTTCTGATGGGGAGGTGGGAAAAAGTTTATGCACAAACTGCCTGCCAGTGCAACTAGAGGTTTGAATCTCATTTTAGTTTTAATTTACTAAGCCCAAGCTGCATGCGCTGCAATCCTTGGTTATTCTGTGCAGTTACTTACTCTGCAGGTGCAGCTGCCTGAAAGGTGATGCATGGTTCCACCTCGGAGATTGGCTTCTTTGGCAGTAGAGCACGGACAGCCCTGTTGTATTATTTAAAAGCAGAACATTGGGTTTGAAACCAATGAGGTTTCCTACTTAAAAAGCACTGTGGCCTGCTTTACTCTGATGAATGACCTGCATGCTGCAGGATTACTGAAGTGTTTCAGATCCTCGAAACAATTTGTTCTCCAGAGAGATATGTGCTATAGGAAGAATACGCTGGGAGGAATGTTATTTTCTCGGAATATCTTAATTGTTTTGGAAATAAGATTGATATAACAAAATGCAGCTACAAAAACAGAGGAGACATTCATGACTGGGATTTTTGATCCACACGAGACAGGCCAGATGAATTGCTCTACTGGAGTCCTTATTCTTCCCTGCTGACTGTTGTAAAAGCTTATATGAATGAACTTAACCTAAACACCTCACTTTCACATGACTTCAGTAGAGTGCCAGGATACCCAATCCCAGTATCCAGCCTCAGAATTTTTGCACATACTTATTTACTGCAATTGACTTCTGTCATAAAGAGAGCTAGTTTCTCTGCGTCTCAGTTCTTCATCTGTAAAATGGGAATCAAGTTTTCTCACATCCTTCGTGTATCTTCTCTGGTGATATTGTAAGGTCTTTGGCGGAAGTGTTGTCGTTTTGAATATTTGTGGATTAGCTAGGGCAAAGAGGTCCTATTTGTCCTGTGACTGGGACTCTGGATGCCACTGTAATGCTAATTCCAGTGCTGTCTGTAACACCACCACTGATGTTTGAGGTATTGCATTCGTAGACTGTTTAGATTATCAGTTTCTGAAATTGTGTCTGTGAGTGAGAAACAGCAAAGTTGGGAGGTGAGGTTGGCTGGTGTGATGGTACACTGGTTACAAATGAACTTCCACCTGCAGCACAGTTAGTCCGTTGTATTGTTTCTTGATATGTTTCTGTTTTCCTTTTAAAAAACAATTTACCACAGCTCGGATGGATCAGTATGCTGAAGTGGAGCAGAGTATGTTTTGTCTTCAGTAACTGGCAGTCATTCGTGCTGACATGGGCAGCACCGAAGAGATGATTAGTTTAGACACACAGTGCAGCTGTCACCTGGATAAGATGGGCTGCAGTTGCAGGGAGTTTTCACTTACTTCTGCATCAGGGAGCCACTAACGCATCTCTCTCTGAGTTTTGCCACATCACCATTGCCCTGCTAGACACATGTCTTTTTACTAGTTCCTCATGCGTTGGCAATGTGGTGGCCTCTCCTGTGCTCTCTCTGTAGCACATGCCAGTGGAAGTCACTTGCTGCAGTAATATGTCAGCGAAGAAAGGGCTGGTGATATTCCGGTGGTTTGGCAAAATAGTCCCCTTATGCTTCTTTGTATTAGATAGTCTGAGAAGGAGGAGGGAAGATGGTATAACTTTCCTGGAAATAATTTGTCATGTGAGGTTTGTGAGTGGTTATCTGTTTTTTCCCATTTTGTTTTTGTGTAGTTTGCAGCGTAGCGGTGGCAACCAGCATTTGCAGATGCCAGTTTCTCATTTGGAAATCAGAAGGGTAAATACTGGGATGGATAGGTGCAAAACTCATGAGCTGAGCAGGGTAAATTTTCTTTTCTTTTCCTTTTTGTCAAAGGGGGAGTCGATTTCAGAGCAGTCGGAGTGGTGTAGCCCACACTGGTGGAATCTGCTCCTTGCTTAAAGGCGGAGGTGTGAATGAGGTAGGTGGGGATACTGCTATGAGCAAAAAGTGGTGGAAATTTATCTGCACAGAATTTATCAGCGCAGACATGTTCCTCAGAACACCTTACTGCTTCTTTGCTGAGGCAGAGTTTTCGTGCAGCTTTATAGAAGGGGTGTCTCAATGAAGAGTGATGAGTGAGTAAAGTCAGATATGGATTCAAATACACTTCTCAGAAGATTCTGCAGTATCCCATTGTTTGCAGCCACAATGGCAAGAAACAGACTTTCTCTTACTTAATTTGTCAATAAGCCAGCATTTAGTTTTCCTTATTTGTCCATTATCTAGCTGCTATGAAGTAAGAACTATAACACTGTGCATCTGATTTTGCCTTTTATTGCCTTGAAATGAGAAAAGTTTTACTTGCATCTGAGATACCTGTATGTAACTGATTACTCTTCCTACCTTGCTTGTTTCTTTCAGTTTGGAAAGCCAGACTTAATGGCAGTTACTCTGGCACAAACCTTGGCCCAAAACATTGGCATTTTCTCAGACAGAAGAAAACTTATAAGTGGTAAGGTTGTTTGCTTTTTCACTCTGTCTCAAGAGAAGATCTTAAAAGGTGGAGGATCTTATCAGAGTCTCTCTGATATGTATTTTTTCCCCATGTTTCTAACAATGTTGGCATATTTTAATTTTTCTTATAGTAACATGAGGAGAGGCTGACATTTCATTAATTTTCCTCTATTTAAATGCTGTGATATCCCCCTGCCCATAATTGCTGGCAGCACTGGTGTCACCATTTCAGTAAAAATGAATCATAAAGGTGTCTGCCACTTCCATTCATTTCAGGGAGACTGATGTCACACCCACAGACTGAACGGCTGCCATCTTACAGTGCAGAGGTAGAAACATACATTATTAGACCTGAGGCTGATGATGAGCCACCTCAGACCTGTTACATAGGACGGTTTTGACAACATAGATTTTTCCCTGTTTACCTTGATTGAATTCCTCTTGTAGATTACCCAAATCTCCTGTATTTGCCACCCTACTGCTACAATTCATCTGCTGTAACCTACATATTCAACTTCTTAGTAAACCCCTATTTACCTGCAATGCCTTAATTCAGATCTCTGCCACACCAACAAGCACCGCACCCTCCCTGCTTCCATGAAGTCCCAGCACATGGAGAACAAAAATGATTAAAACAATAATATAGTTTTGAAACAATTTAGATGATGAGTTGGCGTGCTTAGTTATAGGATCATGCATACTTATGTGGCTTACATTCAGAAAAATAAATTACTATATTGAGTAATAGAACTCTGCTTAGGTGAATTTTGGTTTTAGGCATTGTAAAGAGTATAAAATGCAGAGATACATCTGCACATAAAGATTTTTGCAGTTTACGTAATTTTGTTTTGGAAAATATTCAGAAATGTAGGATGGATGCTCTATGCTGCTAACATGTTCAGTATTCATTTTCTAGCTGCATATTATTAACCTGATACAGAGGCAGGGCAAAAGTGGAAATGGTTATAGTGGTGGTTCCCTTTTTTACAGCTGAGCAGAGGGAAGGACACAGTTTTGGTGGGGAGGGAGGAGAGTGCAACTGTTGGACAGAGCCTTGTTTCCTTTTTAATTGTACTTTTAAAATGCAAACAATAAGCTGATGTTCATGTATTACGGTGAGGCAAATTGCAGAAAGAGAAGGATAAAAGTATACGTGCAAAGCAAATGTACAAAACTAGACACAAGTCACCGTTTTGAAAGTGGGGGGCTGAGACCAGAGCGAAGCAATCCCAGGCAGCCCGGCAGGGCAGAAGGGAGGGCTACCCTCTGCCTGCTGGGGAGTTGCCTGGGGAGGGGAGACAGGCAGGGAAGGGAGGGACAGCAGAGGAAGAAGCCGATAGATCCTGCTGTACTGGCTGGTGTTTGCAGATCACAGTATGCATTATTGCTTGGTTGTTTTGGGGTTTTTTTCCAAGCAAAGATTTCCCCAGTCACATTAGCATAGTAGTAGAAGAGAACTAAAAAATTAGAAGGGTTAGAATGATTCTTTTTTTTTTTTTTAACTCTGAAAATTTGGGAATCAAATATCATGACATGGGAGAAGGCAGGAGCGCTGATTCACGATTGGCAAGTGCTGGAGGCCGACACTGCAGTTTCCCCTAACTTCACTTTGAGAGAAGGAAATTAAAACAGGACTATTTTCAAAGCTCAGGATTGGATAGAATCATGTATAGTTTTTGAAAGAAAGTTTGTCAGCATGCACTGATACACTTAAACTAAGGTGTGCAATAAACTAGCAAATTACTGTTTTCAACTTGTATTTAAATATGAAATGGAATTGATCACAGTGTGGGTTTTGTGCTAAGAAATGTATTATTTTGGACTCACAAGACTCAAGATGTAATTTTGTTGTTGTTGTTGTTGTCAGGTGAGTGCAAGTGTGAGGACACATGGTCTGGATGCATAATGGGAGACACGGGGTAAGGCATTTCACTAGAGGAAAGTCATGTCCTTTGTAAAATGACATAAAGAAAAGGTGTGAAAATGTCTGCCTATTGTGGTTCAGGAGAATATTTTCTGTCAATCATTTTTCAGAAAGTAAGGTACTAGCTGTACATCATATGTAGAAAAGACACTTTCAAATGTCAGAATAAATGAGTTAATGAGAGGGTATGTGAAGATTTTTGGTGACTGCTGGTTTAACTCACAAAGCATAGGGCTCAACAGCCATGCCAGGTCATTGCAAAGAAGCAGAAGCATGCGTAGCTTCTTTTCTCCTTCAAGTTTGCTGTTGAGTTGTGGGAACAAACAATGACACATGCTAATTCTGGAAATCCTATTATCAAATTTCTTAAGTATGTCTCATTTTAAGTGTTTCTGTTGGAATCTTTCATCTATATCATTTTTTTTTGTCCCCTAGTTTGATGCTTTTTTAACGTGTATATTCAGACCTTAATTCGTCGTGTTACAGGCTTCTCTTTTCTCGTGTGTATGAATTAATCTATATTTAGTTTTAGATATAGACAGTTCTCCAAATTATTAAACTAATTTCAAACTGACCTGCAAATTTTCACAATAGCTTTGTGATCGGAACAATTTTGAAGAAGCATATCTCATTCAAAGCTCTTTGGAAATGTGAATGTGTACCTTTTCACCTTGTGTACCTAAAAACATACTAGGTGTAGTTTTTCTGATTTTTAATGTGTTAAAAAGCCAGTCTAAGAAGCATTCTTGATTCTTGCAGAAGTGATTCCTTATCTAATGGTCTCTAAATTCTTTATCCGAAGTCCAAACCTTTCACATAATTAGGTACACAAAAAAAAAGCGCTTGTATTTACGTAGCTTATTGATGAAAGTTGGTGAATCTCACATTCTCTGTAGTCTTTAGATCTAAATCATAAATATTAGAGATGGAAAAGACCAATTATGTTTTGCAAGCCATCACTCCCAGCAATGCATGATTATTTTGTGTGGCATTTCTGCTAATATTTTTTTTATCCAGTGATGATCTGATACAGGAAAGCCCTTGAGACTCCAAAATCTGCTTGAAGCATAAGTACTTTCATGACTAAGGACCTGAACATAAAGATCATTTAAGTTACTTTGGGAAAAAATCTTCCCCTGTGGAAAGTATCCATGCAAAGATTCTCTGCATCATATTGGTTTTAGGTGGTGCACTGTGCCTTAGATTGGCACTTTGTACTCAAATGAAATTTATTCAGTGGGGCACATGAGAGAGGGAAGCCAAAATGTAGCTGATGTTTGTTAGAAGCATGTTTTAACATGGCATAACTCTATTATATAAAAATTCTCTGAGCCAGGAGAGCAATTTTATGTAAGATGGAAATGAACTATGAGCAATCTTTGTCTCGTGTGGTATGTACAGGAAGAAATAAATGCATTTCTGAGATCAGGCCTGTTAGTAGAACAGGACATGTTTGTGAGAACCCCACACTGTGTAATAACATTTGCGGTATTTGACGTGAAATAACTTAGTGAAATGTTTTAGACCTCTCACTTCCCATGAGCTCTTTGTCATTGTTGAAAGTTGCCATTTACTAAAATGATTTACAAATTAGGTAGAGTTAAAAGCGGATAGTCACTCTGATTCTGAACACTGTGTTTTTCATACTTTTTCTAAAGTATAACACTAAATTTCTCCTCCTATTTTGAAAAAAGGAAGTATAGTGTAAAAAGCACTTATAGAAAGTAATCCTGCTACCTTATTTCCGTGCAGGTATTATCTTCCAAGCAAGTTCTCCAAGTGTGATATTGAAGAGTATCATGAATTTTTAAACAATGGAGGTGGAGCCTGCCTTTTCAATAAACCCACCAAAGTAAGCAATACCTTATTAATGAGTATTATTTCTATTCTATTTCTAATTTAGATGAAACCAAGAAGAGTGAAAATGGTGATGTTAGAAAAAAAACAACCCACCGGCAATTTTGATATTTCTGGTTCTCTCTTAAGTTCTAAATTTTCTGACATAGGAGTGAAAGTAGCTGATTTCAGTTCATAGAAGTTTGGAAATTATATTTAAATAAATTTTTAGTAAGTGATTTCATGTCCAGCAGAGTTCCCACAGGCTTCGATCTAGAACCATCCCGCACGCAATTTATTCTGAATGTTGTAAATTCAGTATGTTGCTGAATTTATTTGCCGAGGTTTCGAGTGTCTTGGTAAACTTTTGCACAGCTTGAATTCTAATTTGTGTTGGACTGATGTCTTTTGGTACAAATCTCTGGAAGCTGAAGTAAGATTGCTTTTATTTCACATCTGTCCTAAGATGAAGTCATGGCTCCTAGAGCCTCTGCAGGAGGTACACTGCCATGCAGCCTAGCAGCTTTGCAGGCACCAGCAGTTACAAGTGGTTGTGATATTCTCCCTCTTGGGAGAAGGCAAAGTTTTTACAATGGCTCTAAGAACAGAATTTGAAAATTAGGACTAGTTTTTCTAAAGCTGGAAGAGGCAGAGCAGGAGAAGAAGCCCCAAGGAGTACAGGAGAGACACTAGGAGAGCCCATGGCTGCTGAGTGCCCGTCATGCTCCTCATTCCCCAGGTGCTGCCCCCATGGTCCTCATCCTCATCACCAGGGTCCATCATCCCCTGAACTGTGTGTGCTGGGGAGAAACGTGTCTGGTGAGAACTGCTCAGATCATCTTAGCTCTGTGTTAGCTCCTCCCAGGCCAGCGCACGTGGTTCTGCACAACCCTGCCTTGTGCTGGGTAGTCCCCCAACAGGGAAGGCTGGTGAATCCCTGCTAGATCCTGGTTCTCAGTGCCAGTGTACCTCGCCTCATTTAGCAGGACATGCTACCTCTCTAAAGGCTTGGGGGCAGGAGAGCTACAAAAGCATCAGGACCCAATTAAATGACTGACCTATCCTGTCCAAATTTGCCTCTCAAGTACGAAATCAGAGGTCTTGCTGCATGAATCTTGGAAATCAGGGGAAGTTGGGAATGTCTCTTGAGATAGTATTTGCCTTTTTGCTTCTCTTGTCTCAGTTTTGGCCTGCTAAACAGGTATATTCATGTGAAGGATGCAAAGAGTACGAAATGATTAACTGAGACATTTAAGGGAGCTAAATACAAAAGAAGGCTAAAGAAACCCCAGCCAAGATGCAAACGCTTCTACAATGGAGGATTTGCAGCAGGGTTTCAGTATATTCTTGCTCCATTTACTGAAGCATGTGTTAAAATATAAAGTAATCAGGATAATAATCTTGACTCTTTTCTATGTGTAATTAACTTTACCTATTCAATGGCTTTCAACAAGCAAAGGAAAGAGGCTAAGGCAGAAAGACAGTCCAATGTGGAAAAAAAGTCTTGATAGCTGAGGTGGTCACAGATGTAAAAGAGAAACTCAATTCTGGAGTGATGCATGTTCTTCCTGGAGCAGCTGAGAAAAAATGCATGTTCTGAAAACCACACAATTTCAGTAAATGTTAGAGAGGGGAAGGGAAGGCATCAAATCTGGATAAGCTGAGTCTGCTTATTTCTCAAATGTCTCCTTTTCATGGCAGAATGTAAGTGGAGAGAAAGCATGGTAATTTGTTAATAAGATGTAAGATTTCTTATTCTTTAAAATGCACTTGAATTTTAGAAGTTTGCTTTTTCCCATCTCATTAAAGGTGGAGAGAAACATTGGTGGCTTTATTTCTTTGCCGAGTGAATTGTTTCCATAGTGTAATGTGTCTTTCTTGGGCTTATTTTAGAGATTAGGTTCATTTACACATCTGTTGCTCAGAAAAAATGATTACTCTCATCTCAATTTAGATTTAGGCAGCATTTACATTTTTTTCTAATGTCATGTGGAAATGTGAAGTTAGATGTGGAAGCTAGGGTGTTTTAGACTCTTTTATGTATTGTTGTTTGGGTTGGTTTAAAGTTATTGTCAATGAATGCCTATCTAATTCACAAGGCTGTCAAAGACGTGTTCCCTAGCAAGGGTGGTGAAACACAAGCTTACTTTTGCTTTTTGAGAAATATGAGATAAAGGAAAACTGATGTGACAAGCTTGATGCAGGGTTCCGCAGTGCTCCACTGTAAGATCAGCTGTGATCCTGAAAATTACATCAATGACTGCTAGAGCAGATTTGAGTGTATGTTCTTTCCAAATTAATGGTGAATTATATGACTTTGGGGGAAAAGTTACCCAATTTGCTTTTCATGGTTTTTTTCTTCCATTTCCTATTTAGCTATCCCTATGTACTGCAGCAAATTGGCCCAATGTTTTAAGGCAGGACTCTCTGTTACTGCCATTTACTTGTCTGTATTGTGCAGCACACCTAGAGATACTGAAGAAGTCATCTGGAAAAATTTCTAGGAAACAAGCAGTTTTAACAACTCTTTAATAATTGTAAAAGATAATTGCTTGCTTACATTTAATGTTAAATTCTACATAAGCATTTCATGCTGCAGTCAAATTTCCATTTCAATAGGGGGATCTAATAATAGCACATGAGCCTGTGCCATAAGCCTCAGGGTGGTTTGTGGCACAGTGAAGTACTCGGGGTGGTGCACCATCCTGTGGGCTACTGACAGAAAGGCAGCAGCTGGAGAGAATGAGCTCTATGCCACGACCGATGTACTTGTGCAGATGGCTCATGAGCAGAGTGGTTTCTGGAGCACTCCTAGTTTAATTGGAGAACTCAGGACAATCTGCAAAAGTTTAGTCTTGGTGACACACGTATATGCCTTCTCATTTATGTAATAAAAGCTACTATTATGTTTTCTTATGCTTAAAGGAAAAAAAAGTAATTTTTTTTTAAGAATTACTTTTAGAAATTTTAGGAAACGGGTAACAATGAAACTGCAAGTGACAGAATATAAGTGTCCATTAAAAGAGAGCATAGCATGGTTCCTATGTAAAAAATGGTGAATGAAACTTGCCCCTGGGAAAGGAAAGTACTGCTAAAAATATACAGATTTAGACATTTTAAGTTACAGTTTAGGGGGGAGGCGGAAGGGGAAAGGGAGGAAGCCTCACAAGCTATATTTCTCATCTGCCACATGGAAACACATGGAAAACTGCTGAAAGTTCCCAACCGTGGTAGAGAAAAAGGGAAGGAAAAAGCATCCGACTACAACAAAAGCTGAAAAAGAAACCCAGCCTCTCCCCTCTCCCTGCATTTCTGAGCCACTTGCTCCCAAAGGACAGGGTTTTTATGGCTATTTCTTCTGAAAGTATAGTGTAGGCTTCAACCTGGGACACAGCTCTCATCACTTGAATTCTAGAAAAACAGCAATTGCAATCCGTGTGACAATAATGATTTTTTTTTTCTTTTATTGTCACACCTTTTCTTTTTGATTGTGGCTTCTACTCAAACTGAATCTGCTGTAAAAATGGCACTCATGCACAGAAGACGCTATGTGACTCAGCAGTATTGCTGAATTAGTTTACAGTGTTAGTTCTCTGCACATTTCGTTTGTGTTGTTTCTAGTCTACTTCTCCCTGAGTTGTAAGTACTGTTTTGTGGTTAATGCCTTTGGAGTGCTATATAAAAAAACACGTTGTACAAAGTAAATATGACAATGATTCCCTTAGGAGAGACATGCCCTTTGATTTTTGATTTTGTCCTGCAGCTTCTGGATCCTCCAGAATGTGGCAATGGCTTTGTGGAAGATGGAGAAGAGTGTGACTGTGGGACGATAGCAGTAAGTGCAATGTACTATAAACTGGCAAGTAGATTCTCCAGGACATGGTGCTGCTCATCACTGCTGTTAACATTAAGTGGAGGAAGACAGGCAATGTTAAGGTCTTGTGGCAAAGGATTAATCATTTCTTAAACTTGTCCATTATGTTTAACACAATGTGGATGCTGCCCATCACTGCCATTGAGATTGGGTGGAGGAAGACAGGCAATGTTAAGGTCCTGTAGCAAAGGATTCATCATTTCTTACCTTTTCCCATCATGTTTAACACAATGTGGGCCAGCTTTTTTATTTTATCACCACATAAATTCTGGTGAGTAATAGTAATAGCTACCTGTGCAGAATCAGCCCTTAAAAGATGTTAAAGAAAGTATTTTCCTAGATGGAAACATGACTCTGGTCAGTACTAAAATGTCAGTATATAATGACTGACACTGTGAAGTTAGAAAAAACTATTTCCTATATTCCATAGGAAACAGCAGCTTCATGCCCCACAGTGCATGCCTTTTTCTGCCTCCGGGTGCCTAAAAGCCTGGTTAAAAATCTGTTGTAGCGTGCTAAGACAAGAAGTAATAAGAGAGCTTGGAGCTCATCTGCTTTTCCCATGTATTCTGTTATAAGTGTGTGTGTTCCTCAGGAGTGTGCCAACGAAGGAGGAGAGTGCTGCAATACTTGCACCCTGACGGCAGGCTCCCAGTGCAGCAATGGGCTTTGCTGTCGGAAGTGCCGGGTAAGGGCAATGACCTACTCTGCAGCATCCTGGCAGGAAAGCACACAAGTGGCCGCC